GGGGGCGGGGAGACGGGAGGGGAGGGCGGCGGCGCGGCAGAAGAGCCCGAGGAGGAGGCGGACGCCAGCCTTGCCGTGCCTTCCCCTCCCCGCGCCGTGGGCAATGCGACTCCTCGTTCTGGCGGTGCTCCTCCTGGTTGCGACGCCCTCGCCAGGTAAGCGAGAGGGCGCGCCGGGCTGGCTCCAGTGGCCGCGGAGCGGTCTGCTTCCCCTCCCTTCTCCCCAAAGCGGGAGGGGAGGGGAGGGGGAGGGCCGTCCCGTCCCGTTTCTGTCCCCGTCCGGCTCCTCCCTCGGCGTTTCTGTTCGGCAGTGGGCGAACTTTGCGAAGAGTTTGCACGGGGCCGGGCAGCCCAGCTGTTGCGTCGGAAGGGCGCCCTCCTGCCGGGCATTGAGACGGCAGCAGCCGTGGCTGCAGGGGAAGGGGAGCGAAGGCGGAGGGGGGCGCGAGGCGCGTCGCCCGATTGTTTCGCCGGGGGAGGGGGGCGGCTTCCCCGCTTCCCATAACCTCTACTGGAGGCCTCAGATGGTCTGCGGGACGACGGGGGGGGGGCGAGAGAGCAAACAGTCAGATTTAGAGGCGGACGCGGAAGGCAGCCCCCCCCAAATATTTAGGATGAGGCGCCTCCCTCGTCCCGATCAACGAGCCTCCCTTGAACAGACACGCCTTGCTACTGAGGGCCTTCCTTTACCCTCACCCCCCCACCCCATTTGAATGGGAGCTCCACGCAGCGCATCACACGAGCTGATAAATAGGGATTTCCAGACCCCAGACTGAGGATGCTGAGCGTTCTGGGACAGGGCCAGATCCTTCGTGCCGAAAGGGCGCCGTTCTTAGAGGGACTACAAAGAGGTGGCTGAGAGGTGGGCAGGCCACCAGACGGTGACTTCTAGGGTGTGGAGAAAGCTGCAAGGTGTCAGAAGTGAAAGTAAGGCATGGGATGTGCAGAGATGGTGAGGGCAACAGGCTGTGAGGTGCAAATAAGAAAGAGCTTTCTTTGGGTCAGGATGGGGTGCAGATGCTTTGGGGGCAAGAAGTAAAAGGAAAGCTGTGAGCATGTATTTTTCTCACATGGGAAAGAAATGGTAGAAGAATTATTCATCCGTACTGTCTCCCTAAGAACCAAAGAGAGGCAATGGCAATGACTATAATAAAGTCATTGCTGGTAAGCTTTGAAGAGGCACAGCTGGTTTTTTGGTCCCAGCCCAAACCCTGCTGGATGCAGCCAAAGCAATGGGCTTCACTGATTTAGCGCCTCTGGCTGCAGAGCCAGAGGTTGAAAGTTCAATACTCCACTGTGCCTCCTTGCCAGGGGGTGGGCCTGATCCATAGGGCCCCTTCCAGCTCTGCAGTTCTAAGATAATTCTGAGATATCTTGGACTGGATCAGGCTAAACAGAGTTGCTTGAAAGTGTGATCTGTGATTTAAAACAATTCTTGCAACCCCCATGCAAGAAGTGGGTTGTGTCAGGACAGAAAGCCACATCACATCTCAAAGGGAGCCTATGTAGCCCGTTCCTTCCTCTCAGCTTCCGTGACCCCACATTGTCTCCTGTCTCCCCCACCACAGAGAGCAGAGGAAAATTGTGCCCCCCACCCTCTTCTGTTTATTGGCCAGTGATATATCACTGCACTGTCTGGCCGCCAAAGTTTAGGAAAAAGTGTGTGTGTGTGTGTGTGTGTGTGTGTGTGTGTGTGTGTGTGTGTGTGTGTGTGTGTGTGTGTGAGAGAGAGAGGAGAGAGAGAGAGAGAGAGAGAGAGAGAGAGAGAGAGAGAGAGATTTTTAAAAATTAGCTTTTTGGTCAGTGGTGTGAACCTGAATTGTTGGACAAAACACCTACCGGTGCTGCTTTGGTTCAATAATGGTAATCACGCATGCTGCAAATAAAACGAAAAAAGAGCAGTCCCCCCCCCACCATAAAAGAACAGTATCCTCTGCCAGGGAACCAAAAAGTGTGGTTAGGCATGGATAAGGGTTTCGGCTGGTTCTAGATTGGCTGTATGCCATGTAGTTGCCAGAAAACAGCAAACCAGCCCATTCCCAACGCAGCCTAAAATGCAAGATAAAGCACCATTTGCTTGCACCCTTAGTCTTAAAAGTGCCCCAGTGCCTTTTTCTCTTTGTGGTACATACCAGACTTAGCTTCAAATGTCAGTTATTTTGGTCAGTCTCTTCTACCTTCAAGCTAATTCTAGATACAATCTGATATAAATTCTTTTTACAGATCATATTCCACAGAAAAGGATGGGAAGAGAGTTGGCCAGACATGGTAGACACTCCTCTAAGGAGAAGGAAATAGACGGAAGGGCATTCCTTCTGTCATCACACAATTCACAGTCATTGAGGGCTTACTTGTTAGCTGAATTCTAGGTCCTTCAAGAGCAGAAATGTCTCACATTTGATCATCATGCCACTAATATGAGGTGGGCCAAGGGGTAAAGAAGTTAACTAGCTGATCCACACTTGGATTGGATCTATTTTTGTTTCAAGTGCAATGTCAAGGGTTCTCCACACTGTGTGCAGATTCTCCAATCTTGGCTAAATGGTAGTGTCAACCCTAACCAAAGGGTTTCTTCGTCGTCGTCTTCTTAGAAATGTAGTTTTTGAAATGTAGAACTACATCAGCATCAGTATTGAAAATGCTGAGAAAAGACTGAGAGAAGAAGCCAGAATGGAAGAGGAAATGATCAGAAACTGAAAGAGTTGCAAAATAAAAATAGAAAAATGTAGGTGTCATAATTTTAAATCTTTGGTAAAAAAGAAGAAGAAGAAGTTACCATGTTGGATAGAACATTAATTGAAATTTGTGTTTATATAATTGTTAGCATATCTTTAACACAAGAATTTTTTTAAAAAGTCATTTGTTCTTGTTAAGAAATACTAGAACTGGCAGCGGTAGGCTCATAGGGAGTAGAGTGGAGGAAGCTGTAATCTCACCACTTGGGCAATCCCAGCTGGGAATGAGCAATTTTGTCCGTGTTGGAATTGCCGGGTGTGTGTGTGTGTGTGTGTGTGGTTAGAGCAGGAAGGTTGAAGCCTGTCCTATTCCTAAGAGAGGCTGGCATTGCCAACAGTGCTTTCTCCCCACCACTGCCAGCAGGGAAACAGCATCTCAGCCACACCAGAATTGCCTGGAAGGCAAAGGGCTCTCCCAACTCTGCCAGTAGTATCCCATACAGTTGTAGTTTTCCTGCCACCTGGGAGAAAGTTAAACCTCTCCTAAAATTTGCTACCAAGATTCCTGCTGCTGTGTTGCTAAAGCGGTGCCAGTACAGTGCCACTTCCCGGCTAACTTCCTGAGCTGCTGGGAAAAGTGGATGTGGCTCCCTGGACTTTGGGAGCATGATGAGTTACTTAAGTTTACTGAGTGGGATCTAAATTTTTGTTTTATTCACTTGTACTAGAATATTTTTTTAAATTGAATAAGAAGGCTGCCATCTTAAAAGACCAGTGTTTTTCTGAAATACGTAGGTGCAGGAAAATATCCTAAAAGCCAAGAGATTAGAAATAAGAATGACCCACAAAAAAGTTAGAGGTGATGAATCTTGGTTAGATATGGGAACTCTCATAAGAGCTTTAAACAGGGACTGCAACGTGTGTGTTTAGATGTCTATTTGAACATACATGTCACTGGATATAATTTAGGGGCCAGGGTGTCTGAAACAAGGACCTGGAAAACATTCCATGGAGTGTCCATGTTTACTGAGATCACAGGATGAAACATTCACATAAGAGCCAGCTTTCTAGCGTGTTAGTCAATTCAGAACCAACTTATAGCAACCCTAATATGGCTTTCAAAGTAAGGGCTGGATCACACATGAGAAAAGAACCCCAGTTATACTTATTCTTTTCATCTCTCTATTGTGCCAGTTAATTTTTTTTCCAGTGGTCTCGTGGTATATATATCAGTAGGAGCATTTACATTGTTTTAAATTGCATCACTACATTTCTTTCTATTTAAAGCCTTATAGCAGGCTACACTGCTCTTTAATTTTGTGACAGTTCATTTGCTCTACTGTTTTTTAGGGCAACCAGGCCCCCTCCTGTCCTTAAAAAATTACAAAAGTGATATATCAGAGTGGTACAAGCCTTCTTTCCTTCTTCCGTTTTCCCTTCCCTCCTTTACTCACTCATCCCCTTTTCCTTACTTCCCTGCATCTCTCTCTCTCTCTCTCTCTCTCTCTCACTCTCTCTCAGTTCTTGGCTTTCATTTTCTTTTCCCTTTTGCATAGCGTCAGGAGGAAGAATTCGGTTTTAAAAGACTTGCAAAGTATTGTGAAGGGTTAAAAAAGAGAGAGAGGTGACGTTAATGCTGTACCCTGTACCTTATAATTCAAAGCAAGAAATGTCCCATTCTCCAGCCCTCTTTCATCCACAAGGGGTGATGGTGGTAAGACTGTCTCTTTCTGAGCTGTCTCCTTCTGAGACAGCTTCATGTGGTGTGGTTGCATGACTGCTACCAGCGATTTACCAAAGTCCCTTTAAAATAGTAATAGTAATAATAAAAAGGATAGAAATGCATGGTGATGAAGTGGCCACAGTGCCCAAAAACCTGACCCTTTGCAAAGGAAATGAATTGACAGCAGCATTCACACTTGCTGAAATGATAAGGAATGAAGTGATAAATCATCAGTACAATTTAAAACCACCCTCCCAGCGAGAAGGAAATAAGCCAATTGATTGATGGGGCAAATGTATCAATGTTAGCTATCAAATTCTGAAATGATCCAAATAACACCCTGAACAGTACAATTGGGGTTCTTTTGGCAGATGTGATTGAGCCCTAAGTGAGATATTCAAGGAGTGATTTTACCACTTCCACTCCACTGGTGAGTTTCCATGGCCAAATGGGGATTTGAATGCTGTTCTCCAGAGCCCTTGTCTGTCACTGTTGTTTATTACAGGGGTCCCCAGGCTTTTTTCACCCCATGGACCAGCTGGGGAAGGCGGGGCACCCCCCGTGGGTGCATGCACAAACAGTAGCACGGCACTTGTGTGGGCACGCGGGCGCATGCGCAAATGGTGGCATGGCACTCGCACAGGCACTCTGGAGCACGCATGTGCAAATCAGCTGTACGGGGGAAGGTCTGTTTCTGCGGCCCGGTCCAACTCAGACCATGGACCGGCACCAGGCCACATACCAGGGGTTGGGGATCTCTGGTCTACTACACCACACTGGGAATCTTATCTGGGTGAAGCCTCCCTTTGTTTATTCTCATCCATCCCTAAGCTGTCTCTGTACACCTGTTCTGGATTTTCAGAGGTTCTCTGGGATTTCATCTATGAGACACTTAATAAATTTTTAAAATAAAATACATAAAAATAAATAAATGTAGAATTTAAAATTATTTTCCTAGAATACTACTAGGATAACAAGGATGGTACCAGAACACAAAATGTGCAGATGCTTTGTGAATGATTGCCCCTATGCTCTCTAGTCATATGAATTTGATTGGTTTAGCTGTCTGAGAAATTGGTGTTGTCATCCATTTCCCCAGATTAACTTTATCACCTGTGTAACGTGTCAGAAGAACATTGTAAACCCCATTGAAGTTCTGTGGCTTGAGGTATGTTTTTTGTCCAGTGTGTGAATAATGAATTTGCTTGATTTGGCCCACTTGGAAGTTAATATTTCAGTTCATTTCCCCACATATTGTTTATTGTTGGGGATTGAAACCAGAATGTGTGTTCTGTGGCAGCTTTCTGCCTTTTTTAATTCTGTGGCAGTTATTTCTCCCTGGATGGATTCATCACCTTAGCTCGCTCAAAAATTGGAATTCTGGACCCTTTTATTATATTCTGAATCTGTTTGGGATGCTAAAGGATTAGTAAAATGATTACTGTACATTCTTCTCAAGTGTTTCCAGCCTATCCACTGTTTTTGGAATCCCCCCCCCCCCCGCCAAATAAAGGGACTGTTTCAGGCCAGCCTTTATACTGTCAAAAAAACAAACAGAAAGCAAGATGGGCATTTAAGGCTAAAGTAGAAAAAAAAAGTCATACTATGCTCTATGTTGTGATTTCAGACATCTGGAAAATGTACTAGTATAAGTAAAATGAAAATGAAATCTTTTCATCACGAATCCTAGGATTATGTAAAATAGATGGTAATATAGTATGTCTGTGGCAGGGAGCCAGTATGGTAAGCTTCTGCTGCCCCCAACCCCACCAGGATTTTCTCTTTCTGGAGTCCTCCAGAAGCTGGATGACGGCATAGGAAAAGTCATGCCCTCTGAAGTCATCTGGTCTCCCAGCCTAAGCACTCACTGAAGGAGTGCACCTTGAGAAGCTAGGAAACCATCCAACAATAGCATCATAGAGAAGGAGGCACAATCCTACAGAACTGAAGTCAGTCTCAAGGCCAGAGGTTCTGTGCCTGGGTGTGGGGAGGCAGGAACATTTATTCTTTTTTGGGTACAGAAGCATCCCTCCCCATAAAAGCATTGCAGCGTTATGTAGGGAGGTGGCATTTCTTACCCTCTCTCACATTGAAGTGGCATGTGTCTTCATAACTGCATTGCACCTCACAATCATTTTGATGTTGATTAAGAATATGAGTCATGTTGGGTCAGACAGAAGACCTCTCTAATCCAGCATTCAGCCCAGACAAAAGCCAGTCAGTAGTGTATATGGAAGCATACTAACAGAACATGAGGGCAAGAGCAGTAATGTGCCGTAATAACTGATGTACCTGAACAGATTTCCTTTGGCACTGGTGAGACTGTACAGGCTGCACACATTTACCAGAAGGAGCTGTATGTATTATTTCACAGAATCATGGAATAATGGAGTTGGAGAAGGCCTGTAAGGCCAAAGAATCCAACTGTCTTCTCAATGCAGAAATCAATTTACAGGGGTACCTCGGTTTATGAACGCCTCTGTTTACGTAATTTTTGGTTTACGAACTGAAATCCATAGAAAATAATGCCCCGGTTTATGTTTTCCCCCTCTGTACGAAAGGGTTTGCTCAGGATACATTACACTTGGAAGTTTCTAGCGCTGCTTAAATGCCCCGGTTTATGTTTCCCCCCCTCTGTACGAAAGGGTTTGCCCAGGATGCATTACACTTGGAAGTTTCTAGCGCTGCTTCCGTTCTTAGTGCAATCCGCGTTTCGGTTTACGAAATTTCCGCATTACATAATGTCCCAGAGGACACATTAATTTCGTAAACTTAGGTACACCTGTATAGTATAAAACTTATTGTAGTCTTTCCATTGGCATACTCAGAAAGCTAAATGAGGTGAAAATGGCAATACGTTATTGCAACACATTGATGCAAAATGTTACTGATTGGCATACATAGCATAATCTATCAGTGCTTCTGTTTGCTACCAATAGGTGTGTTTTATAGGAGGAATGCTGGGAAAATAGGATATCCCAAAAATCAAGGAACCCAGTGTGGTGTGACTCAGGAGACTTGGATTTGAATTCCCACTCCACCATGGAAACTATCTGAGGGTGCAGAACTGGGAAATTATTCCTTAAATATCTCAAATGCCTTGAAAAGCTGACTTATAGGGTTGCTATTGGTCCATTCCAAATTGGTGCCACATAAGAACAACAAAGTAAAACCTCCATAGAAGATTGTCCCAAAGAAAGTAAAGGCGGAAAAAAAATCTTGTGCAGAGATCGTTGCCTTCCTAGTATTGTGAGACCTAGCTTGGATTAATTTGTGTCTCCTTCCCTTTGCAGAGGTCTGTGAAGCTTTGAACGTGACTGTCTCTCCAGGGCCCAAAGCTCAATATGTCGTTGGAGACAATGCTACACTATTTTGCCATGTTTCTCAAAAAAGGCGGAAAGAAAATCTGCTAGCTGTCCGGTGGGTCTTTGCTTTTCCACCTGCTGAGGAGCATCTGATGATCAAGATGACTAAATATGGAGCCGTCCAGTACTATGGAAATTATACCCGCAATGTCTATAGAAAAAGGCTTCGTCTTTTAGAAGAGAGATACAGAACATTATACACACTTTTTATTCTAGATCTCCAAAAAGCTGACCAGGGGCACTATATTTGCAAAGTCCAAGAAATTGGCAAGCATAGGAACAAGTGGACAGCATGGTCTAATGGTAGTGCATCCACCGAAATCCAAGGTGAGGATTCAGAATACAGTACACAAAAGGAGATGATGCTCCCTTGATCTGCCTTTCAAATGACCAGAAGCACCTCTGTCTTGTCTGGATTAAGTTTCAGTGTATTCCCCCTCATCCAGTCCATCACTGACACCAGGCACTTGATCTAGAGCCAAAACAGCTCCTTCGGATTTAGAGGGAAATGAGAGAGAGAGAGCCCAGCATCATCATCTGAGTTCTCCCCTCCAGGAAACACGAGAGTCACTGTAAAACAGGGTCTCCAAATCCCATTCCAGAGAGATCAACTAAAAGGATACCACAGTTGATGATGCTGAGAAGTCCAGCAGAACCAACAGGGGCACACTCCCCCAGTCTAGTTCCTGGTGTAGGTCATCCACCAAGGGGACCAAAGCAGCCTCTGTCCCATAACCAAGCCTGAAGCCAGATTGGATCTAGATAATCCTAGAACCCCTGGCGCTGAGGAACTACGGCCCACTGTAGCACCTTGCCCAAGAATGGGATATTAGAGACTGGTTGGTAATTATTCAATATTGTTGGATCCAAGGAGGGCCTTTTCAACAATGGTCTTATTATTGCCTCCTTTAAGCGGATTTAGAGGGAAATGAGAGAGAGAGAGAGAGAGTTGGGTGTCGTCCACATATTGGTGACACCCTGTCTTTTCTCCAGGAAGGAGGCCTCCCAGTCCCATCCCAGAGAGACCACCAAGAAAGATTCCATGCTTGGTGGTATCAAAAAACTGCTGAGAGGTCCAGCAGAACCAACAGAGGCACACTCCCCGGGTCTAGTTCCTGGTGTAGGTGATCGACCAAGGGGACCAAAGCAGCCTCTGTCCCATAACCAAGCCTGAAGCCAGATTGGAATTCAGAATACAGTACACAAAAGGAGATGATGCTCCCTTGATCTGCCTTTCAAATGACCAGAAGCACCTCTGTCTTGTCTGGATTAAGTTTCAGTGTATTCCCCCTCATCCAGTCCATCACTGACACCAGGCACTTGATCTAGAGCCAAAACAGCTCCTTCGGATTTAGAGGGAAATGAGAGAGAGAGAGTTGGGTGTCGTCCACATACTGGTGACACCCTGTCTTTTCTCCAGGAAGGAGGCCTCCCAGTCCCATCCCAGAGAGACCACTAAGAAAGATTCCATGGTTGGTGGTATCAAAAAACTGCTGAGAAGTCCAGCAGAACCAACAGGGGCACACTCCCCGGGTCTAGTTCCTGGTGTAGGTGATCGACCAAGGGGACCAAAGCAGCCTCTGTCCCATAACCAAGCCTGAAGCCAGATTGGGTCTAGATAATCCTAGAACCCCTGGAGCTGAGGAACTACAGCCCACTGTAGCATCTTGCCCAAGAATGGGATATTAGAGACTGGTTGGTAATTATTCAATATTGTTGGATCCAAGGAGGGGGTCTAGTTCCTGGTGTAGGTGATCGACCAAGGGGACCAAAGCAGCCTCTGTCCCATAACCAAGCCTGAAGCCAGATTGGGTCTAGATAATCCTAGAACCCCTGGAGCTGAGGAACTACAGCCCACTGTAGCATCTTGCCCAAGAATGGGATATTAGAGACTGGTTGGTAATTATTCAATATTGTTGGATCCAAGGAGGGCCTTTTCAACAATGGTCTTATTATTGCCTCCTTTAAACATGCTGGGATCCTATTGCATTGCAAGGAGGCTTTTACTACTCTACCCGCTCAACTAGTCCCTTTCTGGCAGCTTTTACAAGCCAGGATGGGAAAGGGTCCAGCAGACATTTGGTAGCCTTCATTTCTCCAAGGCTCCAGTCCACATAAGCAGTACACATAAACCATTAACACAGGGCAAGCAGGGGCCATAGTTATAACCACAGGATCTGTTTAACTACAAGCATCCATGTTAGAGTGTACCAAGCCCTTTTGCCTGTGAAGTGTGCAAATTCTTCATAGTGACCTACAGTGTGGTCTGTATTCTCTTCCTTCAGGCCATAACATAATAGGCCCTTGACCACTGAAAGAGCTGCACTGGACAACTCTGTGCAGAAGCAGTGATGACCCCTCTATCTTTAGCCTGGAACAGGCCATCAGTCTGGACAACTAAGACTGTTTCAGTACCAAATCCTGGCCTGAAATTGCTCCAGATAGTCAGTTTCCTTCAAGAACATCTAAAGCTGCCCAGCCACCATGCACTCAAAGCACCTTGCCCAAAAAGTGGTTATTTGCAATGGGAGGTAGTTGTCACATACTTCTCAGTCCAGAGAGGTCCTCTCTGTATTGTAGGATGCATCAAAAGTAAAGTGGGTTGAAGCTGGGTGTTAAATGTTTTACATCGAGAGAGAATTCTTGTCCAGACGAATGTTTATTTTCCAGTCATCAAATAACTTTGTATTTATCTGGCACTGTAATAGGTCCTTGACCACTGAAAGAGCTCCACTGGACAACTCTGTGCAGAAGCAATGATGACCCCTCTATCTTTAGCCCGGAACAGGCCATCAGTCTGGACAACTAAGGCTGTTTCAGTACCAAATCCTGGCCTGAAATTAGACTGAAATTGCTCCAGATAGTCAGTTTCCTTCAAGAACATCTAAAGCTGCCCAGCCACCATGCACTCAAAGCACCTTGCCCAAAAAGTGGTTATTTGCAATGGGAGGTAGTTGTCACATACTTCTCAGTCCAGAGAGGTCCTCTCTGTATTGTAGGATGCATCAAAAGTAAAGTGGGTTGAAGCTGGGTGTTAAATGTTTTACATCGAGAGAGAATTCTTGTCCAGACGAATGTTTATTTTCCAGTCATCAAATAACTTTGTATTTATCTGGCACACAAAACACTATGACAAAAACTCCTAAAAGACTCAATGTATGCCCCTTTTTTTTGTCTTAGAAGCTACTTCCTCCAGGGTACTTGAACTAAATGCTCATAAAGTCCAGAGGACAAATTACACATTGGGACAAGCATATGTGCCAAGCCCATTTCTTTAAGAACAATCTAGCTTTTCGTGGTCCACACGGCCAAAGACTTTGCTGTAATCCATAAAGCATAAACTGATTTCCTTCTGAAACAATTTGATATTCACCAATAGCCAACTTATATTTAGATTATGATCTCTAGTACTTGTAATGTTTCTGAATACAGCTTCAACATCTATCATTTCTTACTCTGTATAGGGTAAAGTGTTTCTTGCAAAATCTTTAGTATCACCTTGCTTGCCTGCAAAGTTAATGGAATGGCCCCATAATCATGCCAGTCTCTTTTCTTTGTGATTGAAATGCCTATAGAACATTTCCATTCTGTGGGCCATTGTTTTGTTTCCTGTATTAGTCAATATGTTCTTATAAGGATTTACATAGATTCCAGTCTTTTGTAGCTTTAAATAGGTCTACTAGTGTTTCTGGTGACTTGCTTCTTCAAATGCTTACTTAGAGCATTTTAATCTTTACCTTCTAAATTTCAGGTTCTTCATCAAAGGATTCCACTTTGATGGAAATCCTCTATTCTCTTCTGTATAACTCTTCAGTATATTATTTCCATACAGTATTTTCTTATTTTATCTTGATCAGATAATCTGTTCCCCGTTGATCTTTTAGCATCCCAAATCTTGATTTTCATTTTCCTTTGTCTTCTTGAATCTTGTGGGAAATACCCCTTGTTTTTTCCTTTCTACTATTTATTTGCAATAATTGCTATAGTATTTTTCTTTATCCCTACATTCAAGTTGCTGATAAGCTGCATTTAAGATTCTGACCCTATTTCTGGCACCTTTGCATGTCATCTGTCGCTTACATTTTTAAGGGTTTCATCAGTTGTGAATCAAGCCTGTTCATTCTTTTGACTTATTTTTGCAATTTTCCTTGATAATATCTCTAACAGCTTTAATTTTTTGAAGCAATCAGTTCATGGTTTCTATCAGAATCCACTTCTGGTCTTGTTTTTGCAGCAGGAATGAAGCTTCTCTGTCTTTTACTTCAAATTATAACGTCTGCTTTATTTCTGTATTGGCTATAGCTGATGTCTGCATGTATAAAGCAAATCAAAGTGTGCTGCTTATAGACCACCCCATAGCATTTAAACTACTCACTGGCGCTTAACAATTTAGTTACACAGTCTGCACATTTTATAAATGTTTAAGTTGGCTGAAGAATATATTTGCAATAAACAAGTCATTAGTTCCACAGAAGTCTGTGTGTTGCTGTCTGGTTTCATTTCTGTCTCCTAGAAGAAACTCTAAAAAATGTTTAGTTCTGTTTTGTTTCCTACTTTTGCATTCTGGTCACATTTGATTATCAGTGCATTGCGTTTGATTTGTGTGGACATTCGTGCAGAAGGTTTCAGTTTCTTCTTCAGTATCTGTAGTTGGAATATAGGTATGAATGATTGTTATGTTGTTAGGCTTTTCATGAAGTCTGATTGGTATTGTTTGCTCAATCCTAATATTAAAATGATTACATGTTCAATTTTTTTTACAGTTTTGGTTTTATCTTGATTCATACTTCTCACGTTTCATCCATCAGTTATATGTGTCATGTGGCACTGGACTTTCCTTTTGCCTCTGTGCACATCAGCTACTATATTCCTTGTCATATGAAACCTCATTGTTCCTCTACATATGTAAAAGTCTGAATATCGGGGCACCACCGTTATTAAGAGCTCCATGGATTAAGATTTTAAGAACTGGTTTATTTTGTCATTTCCTTTGATACCAGTGGCTGCTGCATCAAATCCAAGAGTGATGGGGACAAACTGGACACAATCTCTCATCATTCTTCTAAATTTTTAGTTTAGTATCCATAGAAAGATGTATTCCGTTTCTTCCCTGGTCTTTGTACTAACTGGAATACCCATAGGAGAAAATTTGGGGAACTTTCAATGAGTACAGAAGACACATATAAAATTACTGACTGGGCAGCATGAGCATCTCACGCTATCTTATACTTCACCGCTCCCTTACCTGTTTGTTTCCAGGTCCAATTGAAAGTGCTTAAGTTCAGCTTGGATGTCCTTAATGTGTAGTTGAGTTTCAGAAGAACCACCTGTTTTCTGATGCCCCACATGGTCATCGGCTTTTTCTGAAGTCCTTCCCTGGCTGACCCCCATCAGTAGAGATACAGCAGGTGGCTTCTGAAGAAAGGGCCTTTTGAGAGAAGCTGTTGCGGCTATGAAGTCTTCTCTCCAGAAAGGTTCCTGTAGCACCTGCCTTGATGTAATCTAGCACTAGATGAAATTTTTGGTCTTCCAGGCATTTTAATCTGATCCTGCTTTAAATACATTTTTCTGGGGTGTGTTTTTCATGCTATTTGCAAACAGTTTGTGGAATTCTTGGTGCTTTAATGAGTTTGAAATATCATAGAAATACTGTATCTCTGTTGAGTTAGTATAGTTGTAAATTTACAGTTCGACTTTTTTATAAGAGTCCATTTCACTGGTTTAGAGGCATGTCGTTTCATTGAATTAAACTTGTGCCACATTTATAATGTTAAGGTGGGTTTTGTGCATGGCTTCACATCTGATCTTCACTACTAATGTTCGTTACATAGCAAATATCAGGTACAACTTAATTTGATGAAAGGCTTAGCCCCAGAACCTCTGTTTAATGGCAGAGCTTTAGTGTAAAAAGCAAGTATATGAGTAATCTATGTGGATATTCTTTTGTGTGCCCTTTTGCAGTGATTTCATCCCAAGTTTCAGACGACTCCACTCTTGAGAAAAATCACAAGGCCTGGAGGTTTTTTGAAGGTTAAGTATATGTTTTCCCCTTTATTCATCCTTACAGAGATGCTAGAAATTACTCAGAAGTTCTGCCGTGCAGCTTTAATTTGCAAAATTAAAAAAACCCAATAAAAATTAAAAACAGAATAGTCCAAAAAGAGAACAGCAGAATAATTACTTGAAATCTGTAAATTCTTAGAAATATGAGAGTTGTTTTGATATCTTAACGAAGGGGTTGCTGTCACTGAGCAGCAATAGAATTATTTGCCTCATGAGTCAAAATACTGTCAGCACATAGGGACCTACTTTCTCTACATTTTGACTGAAAGCCTGTCGCTTAGTGTAGTCAGTTGGAGCAAGAGAAGGCCCATTGAATCAGTGGAACTCACGGAGGACTTGACTCACCAAATCTCCGCTAATTCAGTGAGCCTGCTCTACTTGCAATTTATTACGCTGAGCAACAGGGCTTTAAGCCACTCTGTCTAGCTAAGCCTTGTGCATCTCTCTTCACGCTCTGCAGTGGTCTTCAGTTGTAGTTCTGCTTTGGCACTTCCTTTTTTTCATTTTCACTAAATCTGTTTCATGTTGTTGATATCTGCCAGTAAGATGGTATCATCTGTATATGTTGAAGTATTGCTGTTTCTTCCACCAGTTTTCACTCCTGCATCTGAATCTTCTCCGGCGTCCTGTATGATATGATCTATGTACAGAATGAACAGATAAGTGGATGACACGCACCCTTGTCTGACATCTTTGGCTATAGGAAACTATTCTGTCTCTCCATATTCTGTCCTAAAAGTAGTTTCTTGTCCGTAATTCAGGACAATATTGTGCTGAGGGACACTCACTTGTTTCTGAACAACCGGTTGTTTCTCATGATTTGCATAGTCAAAAGATTTGCTGTAATCTATAAAGCATAAACTGATCTGAAATTCTTTGGTGTGCTCCAGTATCAGTGGATATCCGCAATGTAGTCTCAAGTGCCAGCTTGAACATCAGGCATTTCTTGCTCTATATAAAGGCCTCTATTGCAACACCTTAAGTATCATTTTGTTTGGGAAATTAGAGCAAAGATCCCGTAGCAACTGCACTCCTTGGCATCTCTTTTCTTAAGGATTGGATTGTATATGGAACATTTCCAGACTGTGAACCATTTGCTTTGTTTTCCATATTTGTTGACATATTCTTGTTTGAATTTTGACAAATTCAATCTCTGTGGCTTGAAATAGTTGTACTGGTATCCCATTTACCCTGGTGATTTATTTATTCTCAGTGCTTTCAGAACAGTTTTCACTTCATTTTCTAGAATTGCAGGTTATTCATCATAGGCTTCCTCTTCAAAGGAATGTGTCATACTTTTATTTCTTCTGAATAGATCTTCAGTACTGTATACTGTTTCCATCTTTTTATTTTCTCCTGGTCAGTTCCCTCTTGGTTATTCATCATACCTAATCTAGATTTACATTTTCCTTTGATTTATTGGATCCTCTGGAAAAGATATCTTGTTTTTCCTTATTTCTTCCTCTCCTCTGTTTTTTGCACTGGTTGTCATAGTGCTTCTCTTTGTCCCTCTGTGACAGTCACTGAAAAATTGCATTCAGAGTTCTGACCCCATTTCTGTCACTTTTTACTTTTGTTTCTCACCTATCCTTTAGCTTTAAGTGTTTCTTCCATCATCCATGTAGGTTTTTCCCCTTTTTAGTGCAGTAATTGTCTTTTTGCATTCTTCAGTAATAATATGATTTCAATCCACATTTCTTCTGGTTTATGGACAATTGATTTTAGTAATACAAAACTGTTCTATAATTCTTTTAGTGTTCTTTTTCAGCTTTACTCAAATGTTGGAGATTAACATTTCACGATCAGTACCACAGTCTGTACCTGGTCTTGTTTGGGTGGAGATTCAGCTTCTTCACTTCCTGCTTCCAGTTATGTCATCTATTTGGTTTCTATTTTGACCATCTGGTGATGTCTATGTGTTCAGTCATGTGTCTAATTACTTGTAGCATGTACTGTATGTGCAATAAGCAGATTGCTCACTTCACAGAACTCTTTGAATTGTTTTCCCGCTTCTGTTCCCTAGACCAAATTTTCTACCATACAGATTGCTCACTTCACAGAACTCTTCGAATTGTTTTCCCGCTTAATTTCTGTTCCCTAGACCAAATTTTCTACCATTGTTTGGTTCTCCTTTGTTTCCTACTTAGTCACCTATGATTATATTCTGTTTTGGTGTGTGATCAGTTTCCTCCCGATGCTCGCATAAAAGCTTTCAATTTCATCTTCAGCATCTGTATTTGGAGCATAGATCTGAATGATAGTTATGGTGATAGGGTTTCCATGGAGTCTGATTGATATTATTCAGTTAAACGTTGTGTTATAGCCCATAACTGTCTGTGCTACATCTTGTCTCAGTATTAGAGTCACTCAATTTCGTCTGAATTTGTCATACCTAGAGTAGAACACTTTGTAGCTGTCTGACTGAAAATACCCCTTTCCAGTCCACTTTAGCTCACTGACACCAAGCATTGCAGTGCTTATACATTCCTTTTCTTGTTTTATGGTTTCTTGTTTACCTTGATCCATACTTCTCATGTTCCAGTTATATGTATTGTGCAGCATCAGAGTTTCCTTTCACCTCTGTGCATGTCAGCCACTAGACGTCCTTCTGGCTCTAATCTAGTTGCATCATTGGTGATAGCACTATTCATACTTGTCCTTTGCTTTTCCTCAGTAGCTGATTGAGTGCTTTCCAACCTGGGAGTTTCCTCTTCCAACAATGTCTCTTGTTTCATTTTGGATTGTCTCATCATAGGGTTTTCATGGTAAGGAAAGTTCAGTGGTGGTTTACCATGCCTGCATTCTATGCAGTAATATCAAAAGTTAGCTCGAGTGTCGCTGCCATTGCCTCCTCCACCAGTATCTCCTCGGGCTACTGCAGCTGCCTACTGTTGCCCCCATCACCATTGGAACTATCCTTCTCTTCTGTTGTTGTGGCCATTACCCTTGAAGAGCATTTCTTTTCTTTTACACCTTGTTTATTTATTTCTAAAGGATTAACCCTTTTGTTATTGTAGAGATTAAGTGTTACCTGTTATTTAAGAGTCTTAACTCTGGAAGACTATAAACTATCGAAGAACAACAGCTTCACTGCTGCTTCTGTTGTGTGCTGAGTGAACAGTTAAGTAAAAGTAGAAATTAGTGAAGGAATTCCATTTAACAAATTTAATCAATTAGCCTGAAAGCATAAATTCAAAGAATAAATAATATTCTATGAAGCAGTATATGTGTGAAGATCCTCAGTCATCCAGGTGAGGTTATCTGAAATCTGAGTCATGGCAACTGGACTTCTTTCTTGATAGGTTGCAACGTGTTGCTATTCATCCAAGTAGCTTCTTCAGTCATGCCTTCTATGAAATAAAATTTTGAATCTCAGCCATCTTTTATTATCATCTATTAATTAGGTGTGCCTGTGTTTGAGGCTGGATGTTCTTGAATATTGCAAAATTAATTTTACGTAAGGAATAATATTAGATTTCATTGCAGTGCTGAAATATTGTAATCTTATTAAATTAAAAATGCAACAATAAGAAATTGTTTCATTAGCCATTTTGGCCATATTCTTTTGCCCTTCTGTCCATGCCCCCTTGGGAGCATGGTCCCTGAACAGCTGGTTACTATATATATAAAAAAAGAAACACCCTTAGCACTGTTGCCTTCTCATTTCTAACAGGATTGCTGCCTAAGACATTCCAAAGTTTGAAGATTATTGTAAAACTACTTGAAACCTAACACAATAGTAGTAGATAAAATATTAGTATCACAATAACTAGTGAAAATGAGCAAAAATTATGAGAAAAGAAAATGAAATATTATTATAGGCCTGCTTGCTTTGCAGTGGTTGAGGCTGGGCAAGCGCTTCACCTCATTTTGTTGCAATATCACCTCTCCATGCCCTGCTTGAAATAAACTACAAAAAATGGATTTTTTGCAGGTTTTTTTTTCCGACCAACACATTGAGGGGCACCAAGATAGCCTTGAGAAGCATCATGTGTTTTTGCTGGGTTTTGGCTGTCTGTTTTGTTTTGCTTTTGCATGGTTTCTCTTCCATTCAGAGGATGCTATTTGGCTGATTCTTACTCCCAACTTGCCTTCCAGACCTGTATGTCATTGCTGTGTTCGTGTGCTCCATAGGCATTGTTAGCCTTCTGCTGTTTTCAGTTGTCATCCTCTGCCAGACCATGATCAACAGGAAACGGTCACATGGTGAGTGATGAAGGAATGCTGAGATAGACAGAGATGCTGTTTTTGTAGGGCCGCATCCAAACCATGGGAAATCTTGACCGGCAGTCTATGGAATGATTTCTAAGTTGATGTAGGAATGCTACATATTTTGAGTGCTTGCTGTTTTGTCCAGAAAGCAGAGGAGAGGCTGTTGATAGTACTGTCCTGAAGGTGTCTGGCTTATCATTCAGCCTGGATGTAGTGAAGAGAAATATGCCTGTTTGTGGTTCCCACAGTCAGACAACATTGCACAGCAAATTGCTACAATGGTATGGTGTGTATGTACAGAAACCAAGAAAGTCTCCTTCATAAAAAAAAAAAAACCCATACAAAGATTTTACAGGCTTATTGTACACAGACACTCTTGCACCTATCTGAAAATTTTGCAAGCAACTCACCTTGAGGCACTCAGTTTTGTATGGCATAGAACCATGGAGTTCGAAGGGGCCTATAAGGCTAGCAAAGCCACCCCCCTGTCCAGTGCAGGAATCCAAATCAAAGCAGATCTGACAAGTAGTTGTCCAGTTTTCTCTTGAATGCCTCCAGCATTGGAGCATTCACCATCTTCCCAGGTAATTGGTTCCTTTGTCATTCCACTCTAACAGTTAAGACGCCTTTCCTGATATTCATAGTCATAGTCAAGCAAACTGGCCAGAAAATCCCAGAGAGTGTAGGGCATCCTTGAGAAGATATTCCTTGCACAAAAATTCCTAGCATTTATTTGTGTGGAACATAGGTTTCAACAATTCAGAAGTGGGTGCTGTGCTTGGATATTTCTTCTGTTTCTTATACAGACAAATTGGGTGGGGAGAGATATCGTGTGTGCCTATTAAGTAGATAAAAGGGGTACTTAATGGTTACTTTTTTAAAAAAACTCTCATATGTGAAATATGCCTAGAACAGAAACCCCTGCATTTATTTATTTGAAAATGCCACAGTAATATATGGACTTGAAGTGAGTTCTGCTTTGGATCTACAAAGAAGCATTGTGCCTCTAAACAGAAGTGGAACCGAAGCAAATTTCAGTCTGAATCTTTTTTTCTCTGCCTAACCCTGCTAAAAACAGCAGAAATTAGCAGAACGGGCATTGAGTCAATTTATAATTCCTGAGGGGGAGGGAGTGTTTTTCAAAATACTTGTAATTACTTGCTCATTTCCTAAGAGGATGTGTGTGTTGTTGTAATTGTGGGGTGGGGGGTGTTTCAGTTTAAATTAAAAACTTGTTTTCTACATTTTCCTGATAAAATTCAGCACTGAGACAGGCTGTTATCTGCTGTTATCCTGTGCTTTTGGCTAGCAAGCTCTTCATTCTCGGGCTTCTTCCTGGCCGCTGCAAAGGTTATCTCAGAATTCCATTGATTGCTCTCTATTGCTGTTGTGTTTCTTCTGTTTGTGGACATTTGCTTATGGTTGTGACTTGCAGGTGTAGTTACAGTTTCTTACCTAGAAGTGAGGGAACGGGTCTCCTTGAAAAGCTGCATTTATTTTTATTTCTCCCTGTTTTCTGTTTTTCCTTTTTTGTTCTCCACTATTTTTCACAGTGAAACATTACTTGGTGGAGTGTTCTCAGAACAGGTAGGCAGAGGCGTTTCACTTACATACACTTAACATTTTGGGTTGTTTCACTTTTCTCCAAATAGGTCTTAAAGATGGTCTTAATTTGTTTCCTAGTTTAAGTAAAAGATATTGCTTGAAATCCTGTTGCACAGTTACTCAAAAGTGGTACATTTTGGAAGTGAATTGCCATAAGTTAAGAAATTTCCATCGACATTGTCTGTTGCACACTGAGTGCTATGGAGATTTTTTAAGTCATTGCAATTTGCTTTGGAATGTTACACCTTTTGCATAACTGCAACAGGATTTTAGCCATAGTGATATAACTCAAACAATTTTTAGAACTTGTTTGTTAAAGAGGGAATGGCCAGACTTCTCTTCCATTGTAAAATCTAGTGCTGATCAAATTTCCATCCCACCCTGAGAAAAGTCCTCACCAGATCTCAGTTCTGTCTTATCCAAGCTTCACAGCTTCTTAACTCCCCTCCAACCCACCCTAGGTTCTGTTAGGAGAGATTATGGAAGGGAGAAAATTGGGAAGCTGAATCCAGTGGAATCACCATTGTTAATACCAACTGAAAGTGGTTCTCCAAGGATTCAAGCAGGAGATTACCCAGGTCCATTTTAGGGACTGAAACTGGGGCATTTTGGATGCAAAGCATTTGCTCTGCCATGAGCTACAGCTACTATCCAGAGAGGTGTATCTGTGACTCATCCTTCATTGCCCTTTGTTCCATTTCTCTCTTACTCTTCCATCTTCTGAAGATGGAGGAAGAAATACTTAGATAATGACATACAAAAAGAACCGTGTCACTGGCTGGATTGATAGTTCATGCTATTGGTAGTTCATGTGGTCCATGTGGGTTTTTCGGGTTCTTTGGCTGTGTTTTAAGGTTGTTCTTCCTAACGTTTCGCCAGTCTCTGTGGCCGGCATCTTCAGAGGACAGGAGTAGCACTCTGTGTCCATTGTTATTACTGCAAGCTAAAGATGTTGAACCTAGATTGGATATCCAGTACATATTGATTTGAAATTCATTTGAGAAGCTTCATCTAGAACTTTATATATGTACTAAATGAGAATGGAGGCTGTGTTGGATCTTAGGGCCTACAACAAACATCTCCAGAACAAAAGTTCATTATGAGAACTTTCAAATCAATCTCAGATGCAGTTAAGTTTATCCACAGATCTGATAGAGGCCTGGCTTCATGTAGCTTCTCCCCCATCCCAGACACAACAGATACCTCCAGTTTGCAGGATGCTTAGTTGGCTGCCTGAATGGATCCCTGCGTGTCCCATGTTTTGATCAAAGCTCAGTGGCATTTGTGGCACATGTTTAATCCTGGCAAGACTCAATGTCTTCTTAGTTACCTAGACAGTGGTAACTAAGAAGACCAAGTGGTGCTTTAAACATGGAAATGATGACTACCACATTGTCCAGGTTCGCTCTTCCATGTTCTTTCTGTGCTTCATTATTCATCTGAATTTAAATGCATTCAGGCATTAACTAGAATCTGCTCTCTAGAAGGGTTGCTATTTATTATTAATGAATTGTATACCACTGTTCATTAGATTTCTTAGCAGTTTACAAAATAAAACAATAAAAGGAGCACCAATGAAACAGAAATTAAATTATTAAAAGTCTGAATAAACAGAACCAATATATTTAAAAAGCAGTAAAAACAAGCAACTTTTTTAAAAAAAATCCTCTTAAAAAAGAATTTTCTGACATCTACAGGTAGATAGGTTCCATTCAGGTTATCACAGAGAAAATCCTGTCTTGTATAGAACAGGAACATGAAGCAGAAAGTCTTGAATGTTGAAGGGCCCATAAAAGAAGACAGATTATCTGTGATAAGTAGGATCCAGATCATCACTAAACAAAAGGGCTCAACACAGATCTCCAGACTGAGTGGTTTCTTTAATATCTGTTAATTAGAGGGTTCTCTTCCCACTTTCTCCAGCTTTACCATAATTGCCTGTAAAGCACTCAACTCAGTCGTGGCTTAAACTGGTCCATACCCTGCAGTCAGTAGGGCCTACAGACTTTCATCACTGATGAAAATGAAGAAGAGGTTCCAGCCAAAAAGAAGAACATTAGGCTGGGTATTTTGGAAGCATCAGGAATCTATGTTTGGAAACCCAGTGACCGATTTCTACTGCACCCCGAACACCCAGTATTTTAGCTTGAATAATATTTGAAAGTTTGCATTTAGAGGAAAATCAGCAAGTAAGCTTGCATGATTTATGGGGCTGCGCTCCTAAAAGTGCTTGCAGACACCAATGTAACTGTTTTAGGACATTGTTGTAGAGAGATAAGAGACTGGAATTGAGTCAGTGGGGAAGCTGTGGCCTCCGGAAGAAAAGGATTAGAAGAGGAGAAATAATGTGTCATTGTGGATCCACTTTGAATAGAGATCAATGTTCTCTCTAAATGTGTGTGTGTGAGAGAGAGAGCATGCGGAGCTCCATCAGGGCTGCACACTAGCAGCCACTATTTATTTATTTATTTATTTATTTATTTATTTATTTATTTATTTATTTATTTATTTATTTATTTATTTATTTATTTATTTATTTATTTATTTATTTTCTATGCCACCCACTCTACCCAAAAGTCTCTGGGCGGCTTACAACAATTAAAATTCAATTTAGTTCCAGTTTTGGCTGAAAACCCCACCCCCTGTATGCACCCAGGAGTGAGGCTTCCAAAATCAAAAATTAAAGGAAAGGTTGGTGCAGATCCATTTTGGAATTTGATTAACTATTAATGTTGCAGTTGGGTCGTTACTTTGGTACAAATAAGAACTTTTGTTCACGTTAGTTCATGGTTACCTCGGAAGTTTAATGTTCAATTTTTTTTTTAAATGAATTTATTATTTTAAATAAAATAAATAAAAATAATTATTTCCATGCTCTGCTTCCTTCTTGTTACCTGAGCATCTGCAATGAGTGGCATCTAAGGTATTAAATATATCAACACTTCCTATCTGCTTAACTAGTATAGAATAAACTGTCACTTTAAAAAGTAAAAAACAGTTCCCCACTTTGAAATCTATGTAAGTGATGTATATAGTGAATAAATGTGGAACAAAAGTTAGTGGATGTGAGTGGATGGGGCAGAAGGATGGTGAGTAAGAAGACATAACTTGAACAGGTTGTAAGATGAGATCCCAGACTTTGGGACAGATATGCTTCCCCAATAGTAAATTTGACCTTACTACTGTATTCTAATCCAACAGCTATATTAGGGGATTTGTAATCCTTCTGGAGAAAAGTGACAGCTTCAGGAAAGGAGCTTTAACACACGTAGCACTGGGAGTCCACAGTGACATAACTCACAGAGCATTCTTTGCAAATCCCAGTTCCTTCCCAAACGGAAGAGTTTCCACTTTTCCGCCATTTACTTTTAACCCGTGGTGCTTGCACCCTTTGGGGTTGGTGCAGTAGAAGATACAGCCCAGGTGGGCAGAGCTAGGGTTGGCCAAGCAGGGAGCAAATAGGACTTTTCATGCACACATGAACAGAGAGCAGGAGGGAGAAAAGAAGGTAAGCAAGTGCTCACATTTATGTACAGTAGGAAAAGAGAGGAGAAATGGAAGGGAAACTCTGACCCACTGCCTCCGATAAAGATGGGCTCTCACTGAGGGTAATCTGAGGCTGAGATGTGTGGGTGCCCCTCTTTCTGAAATCGACAAAGTGTCGGTGCCAATAACAAACAAATTTTCAAACACAACGGTTCGAGCTCTGTACCTGACGCATGCGATAAAAATGAAAAACACATGTTTAATATGGCAGATCTATTTGCATTAAGACTTTGGAGAGCAGAATCTTTTTGTTGTGTTTATGCCTTCAAATTAAATATCATGGGTCTAATTTGGTGTATTGGGCTTCTCCCTCCCCCCTTCCCCGCATCACCCACATCTTTCTTTGCTTTCCAGCTTAGGGGAAACAGTCACCAGTGTGACAAGCTTGTCTCCAGTACAGCCTGTAAAAATCAAAAGGAAGAAGAAGGTTGAACAACCTCCTGCTATTCCGGCCAAAGGTATTTGGGAGACATTAAACACCTGGGCCTGTGGGTATTGTTTGATAGTTACAGTGAAGTAACCTAGGAGGGAGAATTTGTGGACTGAGCTCCTGAATCTTCATATTCCAGAACTCAAGATGAGCAAATATGCTGTGCCCACTGCATTCTAGATCTGTGGGTTGCCTCTTGCTCATGTTTTCCTTCCGCTCTGCCCACACATTCCGATTCTACTGCATTCTAGATCTGTGGGTTGCCTCTTGCTCATGTTTTCCTTCTCTAACTCAGCTTGAAGAACATTGATTCCAGAATTGGCATTTACATGTGTCGTTCTGCCAACTCCTGTGACATTGCTGGAACCAGTTGTATTGGCGGAACATTGATTCCAGAATTGGCATTTATGCAAGTTGCTGGTTGCATAAATACTACTAACCCCCCACATCTCTTTTTCTTACAGGCTGTGTTGCATAAATACTACTAAACCCCCACATCTCTTTTTCTTACAGGCTGTTGATGGACACCACTACGTCTAACCTTTTGATTAGACTAGTGGTTCCCAACTTTGGGTCCCCAGATGTTCTTGAACTGAAACTCCCAGAAGCCTTTACCACTAGCTGTGATGGCCAGGATTTCTGGGAGTTGTAGTCCAAAAACATTGAGGACCGAAGGTTGGGAACCACTGGATTAGGAGACTGCCCCCCAAAGGATATTGGTGTGAATTTGTTTTCCCACTGTGATTTAATCAGTGTGCAAACATATTCCTGTGTAACCTGTTAGAAAAGAAATGGTACAACCCATACATGAAACTACTACATAGTTTGGAAATCATAGTTAATTTATTAGTACCATGCTGCAAACAAGATCTGGCAAATTGAAACCTCAAATCCCAGGAATAAGTTAAAATGAGGAAAATGTCATAAATATATTTATCCAGAACCATTTAAGCTCTTGAGGGATGGATAGGTTGAGAGTGGAAATGAAACAAGGTACCAATTGGAATCAGACACCAATATCTGAAATGCAGTTTTCTGTTGTTTTTTGGCTGAATGGGGTTTTGAACACAGGACTACTTTGATCTACACCCCAAATGCCAAATCCGTTAACAGTGGATTTGTAACTGTTCTCGGTGGAAGTTTAAAATCAATTCTTAGAGATCCCTTGTATAAAGAACCTTGAAGAAAAGATTCCCTGGCTGAAATCCTGTTGGGTTATGTACATTGGTGGAAAGATGATGATGCAATCTGAGGGCAGTGATTTTTGGTAATTAAATAATTCCGCCTTCTGTATACCATGGCTCCCACAGCCTCCATGCAGTGAAAGGGGTTACATGGCAATTGAAAAAATCTGTGGAAGAGAAGTAGTAAGTTTTCAGTTATTGAAAATCACTCTCTGCTGGTGTCATCATCACCCTTCCACAGGCATACGTTACCCAACAGGATTTCAGCCCTGTGTAATGTTCATTATCAAACTGCAGTTACTGAAACTTTTGGTATTGTATAACAGGAAATCTCCCAGGATTTGATGAAAGTGTATCCCTTTCTTCACCGGTTATGTTATTTAATTTCATAGGCAACTACAATTTTCTTGTAGACATCTCAGACGTTCAGGGCAAATGCTATAATTACACGAAATAACAGTAGTATCTAGAAATATGCCCTTTTAGTTTAAGACTTCTCAGAGCTTTCTAGCTTGGGCTTTAAATTTCCTGATAAGCACTACCTAGACCCCTGTTCTTTTTCTCTCAATATATACAGGGTTCCCCCTTCCCCATGAGTGATTCCCTAATCTCTGTGCTGGGATTTTGATTTGATTCCCCCATCCAGTATTTTGTCAAGAGATCTTCATAGCACCAGCCAAGGAGGCAGGCACAGCTTGGGAACAGAAATCCCAGAACATCAATTTAGATTCCGTGCTCTTCCAACATAAAGAGACAATGTAAGGCAGTACAGATGCCCTGCCTAGAACATCCTGGACTACACTTGCCTGCCTTTCAAAGAACCTCACCATTATCTAAAGAATTATATGAAGAGGAGAATATAGCTACTAGGATAGGGAGTAGCCTTTGGATTGTACAGTGGTGCCTCGCACAACGAGTACCTCACACAACGATAAATTCACACAACGATGGCTTTTTCTGAAAAATTTGCCGCCTCACACAACGATGTTTCCTATGGGGAATTTTTGCACAACGATGTCTCTTTTCACTCATTTAAAAGTGCCTTAAACTGTTTGAAACCTGTTTTAAATGCTTGGCATCGATAGTCCAGCTTGTGAAATGTAAGCAAACTTAATTTGGTGTTGTTCTGAGTCTTCGTTGATTTTTGGTGAATTTTTTTATTCTCCATTGAAAGCCATTGAACGGAATGATGTTTTCACAGAACAGTTTGTGTTTTTTTTGGAACCAATTAACATCGTTGTGCGAGGCACCACTGTATAGGCAAAGCTGAGAAATACCACTAAACTTTTATCTCTCACAGCTTAGAAACATCACTGGATTTTCCCACCAATCCTTTTAGCCTTAAAAACCTTCTTGTACAGTGGTGCCTCGCAAGACAATGTTAATTTGTTCCATGAAAATCACTGTCTTGTGAAAACATTGTCTTGTGAAATGCGGTTCCCCATTGGGATCTATTTAATGCGTTCCAATGGGGAAAATAGTCATCGTCTTGTTTTGTGAAGTGTGGACCCAGCTGTCAAAATCGCTGTCTTGCGAAAAAACCATCCCTAAAAAACCCGTTTGCGAAGCGTGGACCCAGCTGTCAAAATCGTCATCTTACGAAAAACCATTCTGGAAAAAACCATCTTGCAAAGCACAGACTGAAACATCGTCTAGTGAAAATCGCCCATAGGGAAAACAGTTTTGCGAAGTACTATAGCGACCACAAAAACCCATCTTGCGAATTAACTGTTTTGCGAAGTAATCGTCTAGTGAGGCACCACTGTATTTTTAAACTATTTTTTGATGTTTAAGAATTAAATATAACTTTCTGTCTTTCTTTTCCTGGCAACCACTATTTACTGATTAAGTAAAAAGAAAAAAAAGTTAACTAACCACATTCATCCCATGTTTTCTTTGAACTTGCTCATTTCTATTTCATTGTTACCTAATGAATAACAGATGAAATGAATGGGTCCCGTTCAGCTTGGTGTTTCATTTTATCCTGTAATGAAAGCTACACATGCCTAAATTCCATCTTTATTTTTAGTATAACTCATTTAGGATGTTACCACACTGTCCATTTTGGTACAGGCTGGTGCAGTCTAAATAGGGTCACTTGAAGTTGAGGGGGAGGAGCAATATGCCATGTGGTGTGATCCTCATGTCCAAATGACATACTGACCTCAAGCAATCCTACTTCCAGTATCGTAAAATGGCTTAATAAACTGCTTCTCTGTCTGCTAGACCATTGCTGATGCGCCGAGTCGCTTAGCTTAAATTATTTTTTTCTTTCAGTTGTGAGAAACTGCCAACAGCTGCAGTTTTGATCAGCATTACACACAAGAGAAAGAGGGGAAGTGTTCAATTTACTGGTATCCTGAAGCAGCTTGTTTATTAAGCCACTTCACAATATTGGAAATTCAAAGTGGAAGGAGCATTGGCAGGTTTGCCACCCTCAAGGCTCAATTTTAGTCTGTTTCCAGCAATCACACACACTGGGAATGGACTAAACTATTTTTTTCCAATATTATATTTTTAAACTACTAGGAATAAGGTAGGGAATACAAAAGGTAAAAGGAAATGGAAGAGATGGGAAAAAGGTTTTAAGGATAGGAGAACACAGAATATACAATCATCCAATCCATTCATATTAAGTATACAAGCAACCAAACTATTCATTTTTCCAATAAAAAAAAATTAACTTTCCACTTTTTTTAACTGTTTGATTACCCTCTACCTATCAACTTACATTTATGTTTTAGTTTAAATCTAAGTTATACCAACACTATCAGGAAACCGAGACCAATTGTAAAATACATCCCCTCTTTCAAGTTCCTTCTGTATTAGACATACATTCAACACACCTGAAAAAGTATCCATTTCTGCCACTTCCCATATTTTCTCAGTACGCTTCTCTTGTTTCTGTGGCTGTTTTCTTCCAGTTTTTGGAAGAGAAGGATGAATCCAGGACAGTAACCCTATTTTTAATATCACATTTTCTGACTGTTTTAGCTAAATAGCTCACTGGGTAACTCTATCCCATCTATGTTACCTGGCATTGCACGCAATAAAAATAGTTCTGGAGTTAGTACAGTTTCATTTAACTGTTGTTTAACATCGCCTTCTCTTTCATCAAATCTTCCACTTAGCTAAGACACTCATTTACCTGCTGAAATCCTGTTATTATTATCATTTGCATGGTACCCTGCCATTGTTTATCTGACAAAGTCGCCAACAGTTGATATTTTAATTTTTCAGAGGCCATTCCCATCTTTCCAATGAGTATGGTCTGTATAAAATAATACTCTTTAGTTTCCACTATTTTATCAACAAACCAAACCCATCATCATAAATCTCCCCTAAGTACTTCCTCCCCTCCTTACCCAGATATTATAGTATATAGATCAACTTTTAGCCCAACAATTTAAATTACAACCATAGCAGTATTATCAGAGTCCCACACAGTCCAGCCAAGAAAAAGTCCAGACTAAACAGCAGACACAGGAAGTCAGTCTCTCCAATAGATATCCTTATAATCTGTCAAACCGCAGTCCTGGTTTTCCTAGCTCCTTAGTCTATTCAGTTGTGTTCATCTCGATGATGATTCACAGTCCGTTTTCTTGCTTCCAAAAGTTTATTCCTCCTCCTAAAACCCAGCAAGGTTCTGTTATCAAGGAATGGACTAAACCAGAGCATATCTGCCCCCACACAAAAAAAGTAGGTCTCTGTCAGGGGCTTAGAAAGGTGTGTGTGGGCACTCTAGTCTCTTGGTCTCTTCCAGCAATTACGTTGTGTAGTCATTGTGAAAAAGAGAAAACCAATCTGTCCCCACAGTGCACCAAAGTGGGACAAATGTCTGTCTGGACATGTTCTGAGTGTAAAGAATTTGTCGTTTCCTATTGTTGTAGTTGTTCCTAAGGCCATTGGCTTCCAGACTTAGTTCCCCAGATTTTGCTGGACCTCAGCTGCCATATTGTGCATGCATGTTGTGAGAATGGCTGATGGTCGGATTCCAAAATATTTCCTGTATGGAGAATTAGTGTAGGGAAATCGCCCCAGAGGGAGACCACAGCTGTGATATATCTGCAGGTGGGATCTGAAGGCCTTGGAAATAGACCTCAACAGATGAGAAACCTTGACATCTGAGAGTTCAGCCTGGAAGCAGGCTGTGCGTCACGGCCTCTCCCAATTTGAAGAGACCCTTGTCCAGCAGGCCGAGGCAAGGAGGCAATCCTGAAACCAGCAAAACCAGGGAGCTGGACAGGGGACAGATTGTATTTGTCTTCAGTGTGGAAGGGATGGTCACTCTCGAATTGGCCTCCTCAGGCACACTAGATGCTGTTCCAAGTCCTCCATACAGAGCACGATACCATAGTCTCAAGACTGAAGGATGCCTAATCTAAAAAAGAGAAACAAATACATGTAAGAAAAATTGCTTTGACCCTGAGACAAGAAGAATAGAGCTGTTAGTCCTTTCTAAGGCTAAACTATCACATATGCAGGAGCAATTCCAGGCCATTCCATTGTTGGCTCTGATCCAGCTTTATTTACTTATCAGCAGCTGGAGCTGCACACCTAGTCTCCTGATTGTAAAAAAAACAAAATAAAAATAAAACTGTGCCAACCAATTTGTTTATGGGCAGGGTAAATCCAATTCTCCTGTTTCATCCAAGCTGCTGATAGGTGGCATTACAGCTGTCGGTGGAGAGTTCTACATATGGCAGCGAGACCAGGAAGAAGAGTCCCACAAAGGGCCCTTCTTTGCTGGGGTTGGGGGAGGAGACTCCCTTGACTCGGCCTGGGGGCATAGACACTTCTGATTGCCAATATCCCTGAAGTGGAAGAGAGTGTCAGGGCACAGAAGGCAGTGTGCTCCTCTGGCCTGGTTATTTATGGGATAATACTAGTTTTTGTTTTCTGATTGGGGTTTCCACTCAGTACTGTGGTTGGGGGAAAATTATTTATGGGATAATACTAGTTTTGTATTTCTGATTGGGGTTTCTATGACCAGAGCAAGTTGTTTCCACTCAGTACTGTGGTTGGGGGAAAAATCTGTTTTGTATAGTAGATGACAAAGATTGCTAACCAGAGTCTTGCTTTCTAAAGCACAAATTGCTTTTGAACTGGATTCCAGTGAACTTTCCTTTTCCATTCACCCAGCTGACCTGTTGTGATCCAAAGGGGCTGCATGTCTAGAAATAACTCTGTTTGCTGATATAGGAAATCATCCCACACTGTCTGGCTTTTATTTCTGCAGCACCAGTATCTAGTGCTTTCTCTAAGCCGAAGCTTCTGAAACCGCAGAGGAAAATCCTGCTGGTGAGTAATCCCACTCAACATTTTGTCTTTCCATCAAACGCTGTGAGGTTAGTCACAGTTTACTGGTCAAGCTACACGGAGCATTGGAAATGGCTGGCTAAAGATATCTGCCCTCTCTGGCAGAGGAACACATGGAAAAGTCAAAAATCCCTTTCTCTGCAAATCCAAATCCATAGTAATGATGATGTAATTAGCCATTTGCTGTCCTTTAATGTTAAGGTGGATGCTCTCTCAGCCAGCTTTTGCAAGGACTGGTTGTTAGGTTTCCATCCTCCTCCCGTCCCGCCCCTCAACTTCTCTGTGGTTGAAGAATGGGAGGGGAACTGAATCCTTGTAAAGAGATAGTGATATCTGATGTTAGAGCTTCATCGGTGCTTCAAACAGCTACCTGGGTATGTTGCTGGGCATGGCCGTGCCCATGCGTTCCAGTGTCATCTGGCCCATAAAAGGCTGTGGGTGGAAGAATCTCTCTTCCTGCTCAATACCAGTTCCCTAGCCTTGGTTTACGGCCACCATAATCTTCCTGGACTAAGGAGCTAGACCTCCCACCCCTGAGCTTTCAGCTCTGACTCTTCTCCAGGATGGCTGTCTCTCCTTTACAAATTTTCTTTACAAGTGCTTCTCATCAAGTTAGTTGGAACAGATACTGTTACCTGGATTATCATTTCCTAAATCTCCTCCATGATCCTATTTTAAGACTGGTTATTATGAACCAATTCTCTTTATGTCCACTATGGACTGGTTGTAGGTAGGTTATACACTTTCACACTTACATTCTTTAGGGATGAGGTAACACTGTGGGTTAAACTGCAAATCCTCTAGGCTGCAAGATCGAAAGATCCGCACTTCGAATCCACATGGCAGAGTGAGCTCTGGTCGCTTGTCCCAGCTTTTGCCAACCTAGCAGTTCAAAAGCATGTAAAAATGTGAGTAGATAAATAGGTATCACCACACTGGGAATGTAATGGCTAGTCGCGCTGGCCACGTGACCATGGAAACTGTCTACGGACAAACGCTGGCTCTATGGCTTGGAAATGGGGATGAGCACCGCCCCCTAGAGTTGGACACAACTGGACAATTGAATTATCGAGAGGAACCTTTGCATTCTTTAAATTGAGATGTATTCAGTTTTGCCACATTGATTACTTTTGCTTTATTTGACACTGAAGTATCAATCTCATCTCTTTTTTCTACTATTTATCTCAACTCCTCCTTCCTTCTTGGAGCAGAAATGTCAGCTCTGGCATGGGCATTTCAGCAGTGAAAAGGGATGAAAATAATTCATTTATCTTATCTCCTTTCCAACTTTTAGCATTTCTTTTAATTCTGTTGTCATCTAGCATTCAACTGAAGAATTTTAAAAATCCTTTGTTGCTTTTCTCAACATTATTAGTGATGCATTCCTCAAAAAAAATTTTTTTATCCCCAGTTGTATGCTTTAATGCACTGCTTGTTGGGCATGCTGGTGATCTCTTGGACTTTCCATATCTTTTACTGACCTGTGCTATAAATTCTAGCAGAGCTTCTGCTAATGCAGCTTTGGGTTGTTCCCAAGAACTCTGGCAGTTTGACCTGTTTGGTTTTTCCATCTTTTATCATGATAAGAATATGGATCCACCCTCTTTTGTTGTTGTTTAGTCGTTAAGTTCTGTCCGACTCTTCGTGACCCCATAGACCAAAGCACGCCAGGCCCTCTTGTCTTCCACTGCATGTCAGGGACACCAGAGTGTCAAGCAATCTGGCAAACCTAGAAGAGGCTGACCCTTCCCCTTTCCAAATAATTTCATACTGAAGACATGTTATTGCCTACCTGATCAAAATGCTCAAATTGATCATGAGACAAAGAGTGGTTTTGCTACTGTTGTTGTTTATTCGTTGTGGCCGACTCTTCGTGACCCCATGGACCAGAGCACGCCAGGCCCTCCTGTCTCCCACTGCCTACCGGAGTTGGGTCAAATTCATGTTGGTAGCTTCGCAGACACTGTCCAGCCATCTCATCCTCTGTCGTCCCCTTCTCCTCTTGCCCTCACACTTTCCCAACATCAGGGTCTTTTCCAGGGAGTGTTCTCTTCTCATGAGATGGCCAGAGTATTGGAGCCTCAGCTTCAGGATCTGTCCTTCCAGTGAGCACTCGGGGTTGATTCCTTTCTGTGTATGGAGAGGTAATAAAATTCATCCATGATCTGCACTACTGTTTCCTTTGGGTACCACTCTTTGCTGATCTTGAGCCAGACATCCTGGAGAGTGAAGTCAAGTGGGCCTTAGAAAGCATGGCTAACAACAAGGCCAGTGGAGGTGATGGCATTCCAGTCGAACTATTTAAAATCTTAAAAAATGACGCTGTTAAGGTGCTACATTCAGTATGCCAGCAAGTTTGGAAAACTCAACAGTGGCCAGAGGACTCAAAAAGATCAGTTTACATCCCAGTCCCTAAGAAGGGCAGTGCCAAAGAATGCTCCAGCTACTGTACAATTGCACTCATTTCACATGCTAGCAAGGTTATGCTCAAAATCCTACAAGGTAGGCTTCAGCAGTATGTGGACTGAGAACTTCCAGAAGTACAAGCTGGATTTCGAAAGGGCAAATTGCTAACATGCGTTGGATTATGGAGAGTCAGAGAGTTCCAGAAAAACATCTACTTCTGTTTCATTGACTATGCAAAAGCCTTTGACTGTGTAGACCACAGCAAAATATGGCAAGTCCTTAAAGAAATGGGAGCACCTGACCACCTTATCTATCTCCTGAGAAATCTATATGTGGGACAGGAAGCAACAGTTAGAACTGGATATGGAACAACTGGTTGGTTCAAAATTGGGAAAGGAGTACAACAAGGCTGTATATTGTCTCCCTGCTTATTTAACTTATATGCAGAATACATCATGCAAAAGGCTGGGCTGGAGCATCTTAAAAAGCAGAGACCTCCCCTTGCTGACAATGGTCCGCATAGTCAAAGCTACGGTTTTTCCAGTAGCGATGTATGGAAGTGAGAGCTGGACCATAGAGAAGGATGACCCCCAAAGAATTGATGCTTTTGAATTGTGGTGCTGGAGGAGACTCTTGAGAGTCCCCTGGACTGCAGGAGATCAAACCTATCTGTTCTAAAGGAAATCAACCCTGAGTGCTCACTGGAAGGACAGATCCTGAAGCTGAGGCTCCAATACTTTGGCCATCTCATGAGAAGAGAAGACTCCCTGAAAAAGACCCTGATGTTGGGAATGTGTGAAGGCAAGAGGAGAAGGAGACGACAGAGGACAAGATGGATGGACAGTATAATTGAAGCTACCAAAATGAATTTGACCCAACTCCGGTAGGCAGTGAAAGACAGGAGGTCCTGGCATGCTCTGGTCCATGGGGTCACGAAGAGTCGGACACAATGAATAAACAACAACAACAACAAAACCACTCTTTGTCTCATGATCAATTTGAGCATTTTGATCAGGTAGGCAGTAGCATGTCTTCAGTATGAAATTATTTGGGAAGGGGGGAGGGGTCAACCTCTTGTTGTAGGTTTGCCAGATCGCTTGACACTCTGGTGTCCCTGACATGCAGAGGAACAATGTTCTCTGATGTTCTTGCAGAATTCCTGTCCAGGGGTGACCATATCTCATATAGTGGTCATAATGCTAGGTCTTTCTTTTCAGTTAGGTTTTAGTTATGCCCACTGTATTTTCCTCTTAAAACCATGCACTCCAGTTCTCCTACTGTGGCATGGAGGCCTTTGTTTTGGCATTAACAAAACCAATGAAAGGTAACACAAGCATAGTTGGTGGGGGGGGGAATGGACTCCCAGCTGTTACATCATTCCACTCCCTTCCTCTCCCATACCCTCAGTATTTTCACACACGCACCCCGTCTGAAATATGCTTTTTTGTTTTGTTTCCCTTCGTACCTTTCTAAATCCTGAAGCGCCCACAAATCTTTGGCTGAGGTCCAGTTTCTGATTAGCCTCATGTCAGGAAGCACCTAATGTAAGCTACAACTACACAGTGGGAAAAATACGGTTAATCTGTGATCTGCAGTTTTTCAAATCATGTTTCCATGGATGACATTGCAATTAACTGTCCAGATGACAATTTGCAGGAATCAGTAGGATGGAGGCAGAGAGCTGTGTTTGCAGCTGAGTAACATGTGCATTTAAACTCCTACACACCTTACCTGGTTTATCATCTAGGAAGGTAAATACAGTTTAGTTTCATATTATTATTTGGGAAGGGGGGAGGTAAATAGGAAGGTAAATACAGTTTAGTTTCATATTAGTTGCCTCTAAATATAGCCAAAATGGATATATTTACATTTAGTTTCCAACAGGTACTGACTGCCAGCCTCCCACTCCAACAACAACAGAAGTGCTAACAAGGTGTTAATTGGCCATTTCCACTGCTCTTTCCTTTTAAAAAGAAAGGATGTTGGTGTGTTTTTTTAAGCAATAGGAGACGACTTTGTCACTAGACATCCATCTAACCAAGTAGCACTCTACAATGGCCAGCACTTTATTTCATGCTGCACTGTTTTGTTTGAATTGAAGCTGTGAGTACAGTATCATGATTGAAATATTCATCCCAAAAGCATATGTGACTGTATGCTGAGGAGGATTGTCTTATTTTCATTTATTATTAATCAGACTTGAAAAATAAAGATACACAACACTACTTGTGCCTTCCTCTGATTTCTGCCTGTAAAAGGGGGTTTGAAAAGCTGTATCTTCTATTCTCAGTTATTACACATAGTTGAGAACTGTATGTGCTCTACAATTTTGAACCTCCTGTGTGTTTCCTCATATTTTCAATCAAATTATTACATACTGGAAATATGCATAAGGGAAATTATTCTACACATTTTATGGTGCACCATTGCTTGTAGCAGTAATTGAAGTACCTTTTCCACTTATGAAAGTACTAATTTTATTTGCTTTTATTGCTTTTCTAGATGCAATTATTTATTTAGTGTGTTTTGGCTTTATTAAATTATGTTTACTATAGGAACATCATAAAAATGTATGAAAGTAACACATCAGCCAATGCTGCCCAGTGACCTGCATTGGAGGAATCGAGTGTTATTTTTCATATCCAAACTTAATAGGATAAAATAGGAATAAAGAGATAATCTACCAAAGAAAACAATGCAATTTCCAGATAATATAATAATACACCTGGACAATGTGATTTCATAAATCTTAGCACTAAAATTTACATGAGCTGGGTGTTACAGGGCCGTTCAGGTTTCATGGTGTTTTGGATGGAATTGGAATGAAAAAATATAATGAAAGAAGGGAGGAGAGGAAATGAGTCTGCTTTGTTCAATATGAAGAGATGTCCATGAAAGTTAAGTTGCAAAAGGTAATTGAGTCCAGCCTCCCTCAACAGAACTTCAGAATCCAGCTAGTAAGGTCATGTTGTCTTTCACCATGTGCACAACTTCTTTCCCAAAGATAATTAATCGTTTCTAAATAACTCAGTTGGACTTTTGTTAACATAAGTGCAAATTCAGTAGTTTTACTACTAAAGTGATTGGCACGTTGGAATTTTTGTTTGAACATTTCTCCACCAAGACGTTCAAATTAAAACTAGAGGAGGGAAAGTGCAAGGAAAAGAAGCTGCTGCAGATGTCAGGATCAGCTATTGAATAGCAAAAGCTGGAGCCACCTGAAAAGAGTATGTGACGTCCAGCATCTCCTAATCCTTTAAGATTAGTATCAGCCTAGTTTATATAGTTCCATTGATTAAAGGGGCTTAACTAGTGCTTAAATAGTTCAGTAGAGGGGAACCAGTACATTGGAGACTATACTTCCATTAATGCAGACAAGTATACCCCCATTTTGTAACTGCAACTAATTCCCCCCCCCCAATGTGTAGAACTTTGTATTGATCTGTGTTAAATATCATTCTGTTGTTTGCCATCTTTTGAACCTTTCAAGAGCTCTTTGAATTTTGTTTCTGTTTTCCAGGGCATTAGCTATTCCATCCAATTTTATGTTATCCAGAAATTTGAGAAGCATTCCCTGCAGCTTCTTATCCATTAATAACAATGTTGAAGAGCACTGTTACCTCCTCCCAGCTTGAAAAGAAACCATTGATCAGCACTCTCTGAGTACAGTTCTGTAACCATGGATATATATCTGATACTTGTTCTATCCAGCCCAAACTCAGTTAGCCTGCTAATCAGAATATCATGAGGTCCTTGGTCAAAAGTCAAGATATATTATGTTTTCAGCATTCTCTCCATCTAACAGGGAAGTAACCCAATCAAAAAATGAGATAAGAGTAGTCTATGCCGTTTTACATATTTTTCACATGTGTGGATTTTTAGCCATGTGTGTTTCTGCAGTGTTCTATGAGGTCATTTTATTTTCCAAAATGAGTAGAAATCCTGAGAAATACGTGAATGGCTGAAGCAAGATACCTTTTGACATATTTCTTATCTTTGGAGATGCAAAGCAGAAAAGGGGGTTTCTCTTCCATCTGTAATCTGAACTGGAGAACAGGAACACAATATACGTAGCTCTGGGTCGAGGTTTATTGACTGTTACAAAGGCCAGTTATTTGCATGTGTAAGTGAGAATTTTTCATGTCACTGGTTTCTAGTCCCCTGATCCTGCCTCCCACATTCCCACTCGACCTAGACAACACACAGACCTTTATATACAGGCCTGGCTATGGGACAAAGACAGTTTTGGTAGCCTTGGTAGATGACCTATGCCATGAATTGCACAGGTGGAGCGTGTCCCTGTTGGTTCTGCTGGACCTCTCGGTGGCTTTTGATACCATCAACCATGGTATCTTTCTTGGCCATCTCTCTGGGATGGGACTTGGAGGCACTGTTTTACAGTGGCTCCAGACCTTCCTGGAGAAGAGAACTTAGAAGGTGGTGCTGGGTGACTCCTGATCAATGCCCTGGCCATTGACTGTGGTGTTCCTCAAGGTTCTCCTTTGTCACCCATGCTTTTTAATATCTACATGAAACTGCTGGGAGAGGCTGTCCGGAGTTTTGGGGTTTGGTGTCACCAGTATGCGGATGACACGCAACTCTATCTCTCCTTTCCACCTAATTCCAGGGAAGCTGTCTTGACTCAAAACCAGTGCTTGGCATCAGTAATGGGCTGGATGAGGGCAAACAAACTGAAACTTAAACCAGACAAGACAGAGGTGCTACTGGTTAGTCGGAAGGCAGATGAGGGAATAGGGATACTGCCTGTGCTGGATGGGGGTACACTCCCCCTGAAAACTCAGGTCCACAGCTTGGGTGTACTCCTGGATTCATCCCTAAGCTTGGATGCCCAGGTTTCGGCGGTGGTCAAGAGTGCATTTGCACAGCTAAAGCTGGTGCTGCACCAGTTCCTTGAGACATCAGATCTGGCTACAGTGATACATGCCTTAGTTACATCCTGTTAGGATTACTGTAACACTCTCTATGTGGGGCTGCCTTTGATGACGGTTCGGAAACTTCAGCTGGTGCAAAACTCTGCAGCCAGACTACTGACTGGAGCCACCTACAGGGAGCCTATTAAGGACCTGTTACAAGAACTGCACTGGTTGCAAGTCCATTTCTGAGCCCAATTCAAACTGCTGGTCATTACCTATAAAGATTGGGTTTCCCTAAGCCAGCTGCTAAAGGACTTTTTCCTGCAGGGGCCCATTTGTGGGTGTATAACCTGGGTGTCTGAAACCCAATCTGCACCAGATGTGGTGAGGTTGTAAAGGAGAGTCAGTAGAAGCTTCTCTGTAATTTGGGTGTCTCTAGGTTCCTTGGGAGAACTTTTCTGGGCCCCCTGTATTTCGTTGCATAACTCAGTTGTCTGAAACCCAACATTGCCAAACTTGCAGGACTTCTAGAGTCCGGGGAAGATTCCCTGTGAACTTACTGTCTCTGGGTGCTTGCAAGGACATTTTATAGAATTTTAAAGTAAACAATTGTAAATTCATAGTTTATGATTTGCCAACCTTGGCAAGTCATGAATCAGAATTAATCACCTTTTTCTGATTGGTGTCCATAGTTGTCTGTTTGCTAGAATGTTGCCAAATGATTGGATAAACTCGGTTGGATTGAACAGCTTCTCCATTTGTATTTCTGCAGCCTAGAATTGCTGAGGAGAATTTAACCTACGCAGAACTGGAACTCATCAAACCTCACCAGGAAGCAAAAGGCATTCCTACTATGACCGTTTATGCTCAGATTCTTTTTGAGGAAAACAAGATGTAACGGCATAGTCAAGCTGGATTTAATTCTTCCTGTGCTGTTTATTTATAAAACTTTATTCAAATGTGCTTTTTTTTTAAAAAAATTACATGCTCTTTCCAATCTTGTAGACTTTGAAATGGTACTTCAAGGGAATGTTTGTGGGGCCTAGCAATATATACATTTTACCTTGCAGGTGATTTTTTGTTCTTTCACTTCACCCACTCTTCTTTTTTTAAAAAAAGTGATTTTGATTATTAATGTATTTTTGATCACCTGTTACAGAAGCATCTCTCTTTTCTTTCTGTGTGTGTGTGTGGGGGGGAACAGCTTCAGCTGAGCCAAAATGCTGGATCAGAAGCTCATTTTTATGTTTTCAAGATGAGGGAAGACGTAAGAACTTCCCAAGCGCACCCGTTTTGCTAATCCTTGCCTCTTGGAGTTCTGAAAATGGCCTTCTATGAGGCCTTTTCTGCATCACAACTCCCAGCATTCCCCTGTGAGTGGCCATGTTTACAGGAAGAGTCTAGGAATGGTAGACCCAAACCGTCAGCTCTTTGAGCTCCAGCCCATGTAATAGAACATAACCACTAAGCAATTGCAAAATGGCAGACATTTACATGGACAAGTAAGTATGCAGTGTTAAAGGTTTCACCCCTGGTGATTGCATACCAGAGGCCAGAGCAAGAAGAGAAGAGGGAAGCTGGTGATGTAAAACATAGTAGGCAAGAAACAACTACCCTTCCTTCCTTCAAGGTGTGAATGGTTTTTAGACTGAGCCAGAGGAAATAGGGAACCAACCCCCTCGGATCATTGTGTGCTTTGGAAGATTCCTTACCATCCCTCGCTTTTCATTCTTTGCTGACTGGACTTCCAGTGTGCTTGGCTCCATGGACCATGGCTAAACATGTCTTCTTATCATGAATGGCCGAAGAAGACCATGCTTCTTAGAGTTTCATATGTTTTTTAAGTTTTTGCTTTATTCTCTTACAGTTTCTTGTGTTTCATACAATTGCCTTTTTGTTTGAGGCAGCCAACTCTGTACCTTCATGATAGCTACCTGTACGTGTATATTCCATTTTGCCACTGTTTCTAACAGGTAGCTGCTTATTATTTTTCCTATGAATTTTCACTGTCCTTTTACCTCTGTACTACACAATGGAGCTGAGAGATTGGTCAGTTCCTGCACAGCTTGGATGAGATGCGTTCCCCCCCCATGGCTGTCATTAGTTATTTGTGTTTTTTGTATAATGATAGCTTTTGCATGCAATTTGTATCCTATAAACTACAAGCCAATTTAACTGTTGTAGTATCACCGAGACATAGTTTAGATCGGTGCGTGCTTGTCCTGTATGGCAGCCATTGGCTGAAGTAATGGCGCCCACAAGCTTCTTCCTGAATTCTCAGATTTATCTGTCCACCCCACTCACTTGCCATCTGTTTATGGTTAGAAGAAATGTATTAAAGCACAGGAAAATGTGTTTTCTAGAACTGTGAGGAAGGTTTACCCATTTGCCCCAGACTGACGGATTTGAAAGAATCTGCTTCCTCTCTTCCCCTGCTCTCTGTGCTTTATTTAAATGTTATTTAAATGTTATTTAGTTGGCATCCAGCCTGGAGAGCAGCTCATGATCCCTGGAGAGCTGCTGTTCACACAGCACAAGCCCTCTGAGCAGAATTTGGAAGGGCAAAGTTTTTAGGAGCATCATCTTAGAGATGACTTGTCTTGTTGGATCCAAGCATGCACTTCTTTGGGTTCTCAGCGGCTGCATCATTGACTATTCTTTTCCGTTCTTTCCTGCTATTCAGCCACGCTTTCAATGAAGGGGCATGGAAGAGACAAGATTGTGATAGCATAGCCCAACCTCCTGTACCATCTGTGATTTGTGTGTGTTTGTCGCCTGCCTACATAGGTCCTTCCACACTTTCGCAAGTGCAGCATACTATAAAAACAAAACAAAATATGCATTGCATTGCATTACAAGAGATGAAGCCCCACCATTAAAATGTGCTTGCCCTTCTTGCAGCCACATTCCTTAGGATGGTTCTACTTTGTCAAGTTAGGCTCCCCAGCCAATTGTGAAAAAGTGGTGATTCTGCTTGATCTTTTTTCCCCCCCAGTGCATACAGGATAGTTTGGGATCCTTTGCGATTAGAGAAGGAGTTCAGTGAGGCAGATAAGGAAGAGGACACATGAGAAGAGAGAAAAGACTAAGATGGAAGTCAGAGATCTTTCACTTTTTATCTCGATATAGCTGCAGAGAAGGATCTCTTCCAGGCCACCCTTCTTCTTGACTGCTTATCTCCACCAACAACCTGGAAAATTAAACTAAAATCATCTCCAGCCCATACCAGCCGGCTGAAGACTTGCTGCTGATGACAGCTTTTCACATCTTCCTTGCTATACACGGGAAATGTGACAGTAGTGTGCTTTCCTTGTGTCTCTGGAAGGGGAGATCTGTGGGCAAAAATAAAAATATCCTGCTCAGAAACCACTGTTACTGGAGCATTGTAATTATCCATGTTTTCAAAGATTGTTGGAAATGTGTGGTTGTTTTTGTTTTCTTTTTCAAAATAAGAAATTGGTGAAAGCAGATGGTCGCAGGGATCCAGCTCAGAGGGTGGATGTGAAGTTCAAGCCATGCTTATGCCAACCGACTTCTCAGCAACTCACCTACTCCTCTCCTAAGTCATGAGTCTCTTTGCCTTCTTTGTTGTTTGTAGAGCCCTGTTTACCACAGGCCAGTCTCACCCTTGGTTGGTTTTGCTCCACAGATAGTTTCACTGCAAAGATGAGACAGGTTGTTGTGCGGTGATTGTGCTGGTACACACTGCTGTCATAACTGAATACGTGTTGATTCAGCAAGGCTTGATGTTGAAAGTGGATGTTATTGTCTTAGAAGCATGAGAGCAGATCCTGTAATAGCATCACCAGTGAATGCATGTTTCCTCTTGCAGAAATAAGCTGAAGAGTACTGATGTTAAAGTTTTCATTCTGTATGTGTTGTGTCTCATTTAATGTAGCTCCTCATCTCATTTGAGCTAAATAAATGGTACAGAAGTCTACTCATCTGTGTGAGATTTCCTGGCTAGGGCAAGGAAGCCAAAGCAGAATATGAATCTGGTGGCTTATACTGCCTTTTCAATATGATGATGAAGAGCATTAGACCTCCATCTTTTTCTTTGGCTGAGATTTCAATTCAAGTCAGGAAAGTTTGATGACTTTCTCTAGACTTTTGGGCTCTTTGTGATTAGAGAAGGAGTTGAAAAAAACAAACAAACAAACAAAAGGTCTCAGGACTTGCCTTACAGGCTTAGAGACAGCCTGTTTCCACTTGGAGCATTGGAACACAGGACAGTCGGAAGCCTAAAGCTCAGGGCACTTTTTCTTGGATGGTTTTAGGCCTCAGATTCAGAAGTGGTTCAAATATCTCAAAAGTTTCTGTGTCAGGGCTTGTCCAGAGGCAAAAATGCCTGTTCTGAGGGAGGAGAGATCCAAGAGCCATGCCTTTTGCCCTTTCAGTGTTTGTGTTTGAGGGTGGCATAACTTTGCATCAGGGATTGTTGGGGTCGTGAAGGTTGGTGCTCCAGCAGTTTCTAAGGAGAATTCATCTCTGTGTCAGTAGGTCCCAGGCAGAAGCTTGTAATGACCTGTGGATTAGCTTTAGAAAGGGGGGGAGCTCTGGAAGCAAAGCTACAGTGGGGAAGTGGATTTGTGATGATATATTGGAAGTTTTTCTGTGAGAAGCCATGACTCTTGTGGCACTACATAGGTGCAACTACTGCTAAGCTCCCCTTCAAGAACAACTGTGACCAACTGTGGTCCTGTACTCTAGAACTTTTGCCATCTGGACAATTCCTCTAATTAGTGCCTGATCCAGGACATTTATACAGCTGTAATATTTTCCACATACATTTTACGGCTTCCTTTCCGCCTATTCCAATACCTTCTTTTTGAGAAAGAAAAGAAAGGGGAGGCAAAGGAATATACCTTTTCTTTTCCTATGAATGAAATGGTCAGAATCCTATTACATACTTATTCCTACATTGTCTGTAGGGAGTGGGGTACTTGATGTAAATTCCCTCATTGGCCTTTGATTATGAGAGGAAGCATATTCATATTGGCTAATGAGAACTGAAGCCACATAGAAGTCTGCTATTGATTTCTGCTTTGGATTTTTGGGAGCTTTTTTTATCCTAGCTATCTTCCTGCCCCTGAGGGAGAGCGAGACCACGGAGCTTATGTTTTTCACCTGCCCATTGTATGATGTGGCGTGCAAAGAGATTATAACCCCCTTAATAGAAAGAATCCCAGGATGTTCAGAGGGAAACAGGCTCGAGTTCCTTCTCTCGGATGTTGATATGCAGATCAACTGTCTAGTTGCCAAATTCTGTGTGGCAATATTTTGGTTGCAGAAGCCAAACTCCAACTAGATAGTAGCTCCCAGCTGTATGCATGCTAGCATGTTCTAATGAAATATTGAAAGTTAGAAATTATACGGTTCTATACATATGGAGCAGTCTGCCCCAAGAGATCTGTCTGGCTCCCTCGCTGGGTGTTTAGATAGATAGACAGATAGACAGATAGACAGATAGATAGATAGATAGATAGATAGATAGATAGATAGATAGATAGATAGATAGATAGATAGATAGATAGATAGATAGATAGATAGATAGATAGATGACTGGTCTAAGGACTGTGAACAAAACATTATTATTATAGGTCAGAATCCTATTGGGTAGTTGTTTGTGTGACTTGTGGTGCCAAACGGCAACTAATTGACAAGGTGCTGCAGTGTCTCATTCATCTACCTGGCCATGTGTTCAGTTTTCTTCTGAGATAAGCTATGGTACCTCCTCATTCATTAATTGGAGCAAGTTATGCAAACATCACTAAGATTCCAGCCAATATTATTTCAGTTAAGTCTTTTTAATTAATTGGCTTAATTACTTCTGGAAAGCATGATTGACTGTTGTTGTTTTTACATATAAAGTGAGATGAGCAACAAAACTGCTCCTTAAAATCATCTTGGAGATTACCATTGCTGTGACACTAAGAAGTCCCAGTATGATCAACTTTCATGCAGAAAATAAAAGTAAGGGGAGGAAACTCAACCACAACACAGGCAGTGTCAGATTTTGTGTGATTTTTGCTTGTAACACTTGCCCGTTTAAGTTTTCCATCCAGGTTTTTGGTTTATCATGAGCAGTGCCACTGGCAATGCATAAATACTTCAGCATGTGGTTGGGTTATTACTTGAGAGGGCACCTTGCAAACTTCGGGTGATGGCCCCCTCTGTCCTGGACCCTGAACCGCTTCTACCCCGACCGGAAGAATTTCTGGGATGAGATTGTTTTCTTTAGGATGTTTCATTATTGTTGTCTATCTGTCCACAAGTGTGCATTAGATCATTTTTACATTTCAAGCTGTCTGTTGTACTGTTGTGCTTTTAGTTAATGGCGGGTGAAAACCTTGAGCACTTGGCCAACTGGAAAAACATCATCCTCCAAAGCCACAGAGGTTGCCTATTCCTGAATTAAGCCAATTAGTCCTACCATTTGGTGGGAGTTGTTGCTGCTGTTCTTCAACAGTGCGCAGGGCAGAGGGTATGCTTTCAGAAACCACAAAGCATATCCTCTGGAGCCGAGACAAAATTCCCCCTGCCTGCATTCTGGAGGAGGTAGGCACATTTCTGCAAAGTAAGAGACTGCCCTCACTTCAGAACCTCTGAGGAGAGAAATGCGTGCAAAAAGGGGGGGGCAGGTACCACCCAGGGCAATATCACTGAGTCATGATATTTCTGTGTATCCTTCTGCTGTCATTGATGAACTGGACTGATGCTAAGATGCAAACAAGTGCGGGTCCATTAGCTTCTCCACATCAGATTGTTAATGTTAATGCTGTGTGTCCCTCACTTTAAAGAGAGGGGGTGAATACAGCTTGTTCTTCCACATTAAAGTTTATCACCGTCAGCAAACAGGAGTCAATCACATTAGCATGGGCAGGTACAGTTGAGGGCGGCCTGCAAGCGGGGAGAGGAGATTGCCTGTCCAGAGAGCTCAAGAAGCAGAAATTGTTTGCACTCTAGAGCAACTCTCTAATTGGCTCATTTGGCCTGGATGCCATTTTGGGGTCATTGCCAGCAAAGCTTATTTCATTCATTTATTTATTTATGTATTTAATGACTGTTACGTTGTCCTCAGGGTTGTCATTATCCTAATTTATAACCAGCTAGTGTTCAATTTTCCTAAGATGCCTCCTTAAACACAACTTGAAATCCACCCTGCTAAATGTGGAGTTGTTTCTAAGGCGTGTGGGGTCCCACTGTTCTGTTTCCCCCATACCTAAGGAATAGTGCACACACTCCTTGTATTAACTTTTTAAAGACAACACCAATGCAATGAGGACATGCGCCCTCCCCCAAATCCAGTGATGGTTGGGCAAGTTCTGTGAGTATTTTGGTATGCCTGTATGGCTGTGACATTCTTGTTGAATCAGGCCCTTCTGCTGTGGTCTCACTGTTAATGTACATACTCCATTTCTCCTGTATCTTGCCAAAAACTGCCCTTCCTCTTTTTTTTCCTGCTTTGCTTCAGTTTAATGTAGAGCTCCTTGTTTTTGCATCTACAGCAAAACATTTGTGAAACAGTCTTTCAAAGCTTCTGGTTTTGTCTGGGGGGAAAGAGCCTAGCTTAAATAAGCTATTGTATCCCAGCACACTTGCATTGACTTGCTGTGAAGTTGCACTGGGGATTTGGGGTTTGTTCAGTTTAAGTGGCCACACGCAGACAAGAGAAAAGCATTTTTGTGTCTTCTTTGCAGCTCTGTTGAAGCACCGGTAGCAGTTCAAAGAAGCTGCTGCAACAAGCTGTAAAAAGGCTTATCTCCTGCCATTTCCTCCTCTGATTTGATTTTGTGCAATTTGGTGTTTGGATGCTCAAGTGCATTAATGCTGGCACCAAACTGTTGTTTGTTTGTTTATAAGGAAGGAAGCAAATAAATAAATAAATAAATAAATAAATGAATAAATAAATAAATGCATGCATACATACATACATACATACATACATACATACATACATACATACATACATACATACATACATACATACATACATACATACATACATACATACATACATACCCTGGAGGCTTTGCAAGCTGTTTCTAAAAAGAGGTTTTGCTTGCCCTTTTTTCAAAAAGAGGAGAGTCTTGCCAAGACTTTTGAGAGGCTTTACTTCATCCTTAGGTGTGAAAGGAAGGAAGGAAGGACAGAAGTCTTGGTAAAGGGTTTTGCTCACCCTTCCTGACTGCGTGCTGGCACAGTGGCTTTTCTGCATTCGTTTGAATGATCATACTTCTAATACTATTCAAATTGATCTGCTGTGTGAAAAAAAAAGTAGAAGCCGGCACCACCACCCCACTAGAGGGAAAGAGGGAAACTTTGGGCTAATTTGCATTTCCCTTTGTATCATGTGATTAATGGGGAAAATGCAAATAAACCTGTAACATTTCCCTCATTTTTCCCCAGAGTACTTGCAACCTAAGTTGTATATTTCACATTCATGCAGTTTGTCCAATACACTCTCATTTTTCTCCTGAACTGACAATCAGCAGCAGATCATTTAAATGGATGGACATCCAACATATTCACCAGAATCCTCCATGCTGAAGAGTGATTGGAACGTCAGCTGATTCCTCTTTCCCATACTGAATTATGTATACAATGTGCATCTTCTACTTTTCTAAGTACGTGGCAGCTGTTCCCACATACATCGCATGCCAGGGCTGAAGTGGATTCATCAGACTTGAAATAGGAGAAATCAAAACACCATGAGCCTTTCCAAGGAGCACTATACATTTTGAAGCAGATTTTCCGTGCATTAACCCCATCAGCTAACATGAGGTGAATGTATAGTCCTCAAATGCTGATTCAACAGCTGGGGCTGTGCCCATGCAGCCCTTCTTCACAAGTTAATTCTGGACATCACCTGTTCGGCAGGGGAGAAGTCAGTCTTCCTTCTGTGCCAAACGGCTAACTGACAGGATTTCAGCTTTTCTG